TCACAATTATCTGAAAAGGCTAAACCCTCCTTTCTTAAATACATATTCTGTGAGGCTGAATTTTCTTCATATACTTTAGCCAAAACTGCAATTCACAACAGACAGCATCTGGAAGTAGCTATGAGAATGCAGGTGTCTTTCTGGTTAAGCCAGACATTAAGGAGGTTTACAAAAATGTAAAGCAGTGCTATTTTTCTAAGTAAGTTTTGTTTTGCTTTGGAAAATAGTCTCCCGTCCCCATAAAAATATGATTTTTGTTAGCATGTAGTAGTTTCTTATTGCTATTTTTAAATAAATATTTTAAAAGTTTCAATAGTTGTAATGTTTATATATGAGAAATATGATAGACATAACCCACATAAACAAAAGCTGTTTGGTATGTAAAGGGGATCAAAATGCTTGGTGACTGCTGCTTTAGACAAATATCTCATAGTTTACCTACAAAAATGCCAAATTAAAACACAAAAAAGGAAAAAGTAACACTTGTCATTTCTTATGAGCATATAATCTATGTAAGAAGTAAAAAGGAGAAAGAGTTTCTCTTAAAATTTTTTTATGTGAATAATGGAGCAATATAATCAGGATCTAAAATTTTTTTTTACAACAATGAAATCAGGTAACATTTTGTCACCCTTCCAGCGGAAGAAGAAAAGCAAAGGAGGACAGTAAATGGACTCCTGACATCTTTTTCCATGATTACAAACTGAAAGAAAATACCAATACACAAGTCATGGAATCCAATAGGCCAGGTTGCAGCCTAACTTCAACAGAATCTTAATTTTTATCCAACTAGAGGCACTACTCATTATGCCTATCACTTTAGTTCTCTTAAGCAAAGAATGGCCACAGCTGAAAATTCAGCCTTACTCCATAGTTTATTGTATTTCTAAGTAATCAATCATTAATCATTACCTATTTTAAAATGTAGGAAACCTCACCTGTAAATCATATGGCTTTCCAGCCCTCACTAAAAAACTCAGTAATATACTGGTGTGTGCAAAGTGGACATTCTCATCCAAGAATCCATGTAAGAGCAGTAAACGATTTGGTCTGGAGAAACAGAAATATTACAGGATTAGGCAAGAGAGAGTATTTGGGACAACCACTTAATTCATTTAAATTAATCACAATTAACTGTGTTACCTTCCTTATTCTCTAATATTAGAATGAGGATTCAAAATTTTCAATATTATATTTGTAATGTATTAACCAGATACTACATGTATCAAAGATTAAATAAAAAGATCATGTGTATAATTTCCTATTAAAATATGAGCACACATCAATAATGATAGCATGTCCCCAGAAAAAGAATAATCATAAACACTATTTGTAAAATAATGCAGAAATAATTTTTTTCCACCTTACATAGTAGTGCACTTAAAATTCTTTTAGCACAAGCAAATTGTTTCAAATATAACTTGTAGAAAAAAACAGATGAACTGTCCTATAATTCAGCTTTGAGAAACACCCATGCCATTCTAGTATTCTATAAAATATTAGTCTTGGTTATATATTTGTAGTTTTCATTATTACTATTAAAGGCAACTTTCAAAAATACGATTTTTAATTTATAATCTTAATTTTAAAGCCTGAACTTACTCAGAGGGGAACTTTTCTGCTTGCATGGCCACAGATCCTAAATAATAGCCCTGTTCATTCTGGTCTGGGTGACCCATATAACGTTCCGTGTAGCCTGTATCATAGAAGATCCACAGAGTGACTGGGGCCCCAGCAATAGCAACCTGCATAAGGCAACAGTGATAGTCAAGTGTGGTCCAGAAAAGAATGGCTAGCAACGAGAATTTGTAACTGCAAATTCACAGGCTAAAATTATCCTTAGGCTTTAGCCCCAGGACTAGAGCTACATGGCCTCAGGCCACTGAAAAATCAAAGTGGAGTGCCAAGGTCAAGAACTCGATACTTTGTGAGTTAGTTAACATTTTGTACAGGCATGCTGTACACCAAACCCCTAACCTCGCCTAGTTGAAATATAAACATGTTTGTTAAAGGGATACACTGAACTAGAACATATGAATGCTTCAGTGTAAACTCATTCCTGCTACTGGGGGAAAAATGTGCAAGAAGGGTCTGTCAGCTTTATATACATAGGAAAAGCAGTCATTTTTTTTTAAAGCTTCTGTTGACAGTACAGGATTTAAAACAATGAAACATATTTAAGCACCAAACCTCATTTTAAGGGTCCCACACAGTTTTATACTTAAATGTTATAAATACATTCTCGACAGCTGTAGGCCTAGACAAATTATGACAGTTTTCAGAGTTCATGTTATGTTTATTTTATTAAAGGTTATCTGAATATAACGAAAGAACAAAAACCCTATCATTTTTATTCTTAACAATAATTTTTCACTGCATAAAATAAAATCATGTTATTGAAATACAGGGTGGGGAAAAGGTAGGTTTACAGTTATGAGTACACAGAAGTTTATTCTTGTATTTTTATTTATGAATTACTGTATTATTTTCCATACAAACAACTGTAAACCTACTTTCCCCCATCCTATATAAAAAAGAAAACCACTACTCATAATTTCCACTCCCTTAACAACTGTTAGCATTTTTATATATTTTCTTCTAGCACATTTTGCTAAGAAGTTGCTTACAGAATTGTAGCTATCATTTATGTTTAATAATTTGTTCATTTAATACAGATTTAATTCAGACCTATAGATGTGTCAAGCATCATGCTTAGCTGTTGAGGATACAGTGATACAGTGCATCTGAGTGACAGATAGGTACCTCAGAGCTTGCAGTCCAATAATTAAGCTAGTAACTACAATCCAATATGTATATGTATATGTTTTTACTAGTCATAACTAAATCTCATAATCTTTGGCATATGTCTACAAATAACCAGTAACTGGTCACCAAGTTGACAAGGAGTTTTTTTGTAAAATAGATAGATATGTAAATATATAGCTCACACGGATTTCACAAGTTGACAGATATTTCTATTATCTCACATTGCTATTAAACAAAGAAACCCTAATATTCCATAATACTACCAACTCTGTACACATTTAGAAAAATCAGCATTTTTCTCATATCTTCACTTTATCAAAAATCCTATAGTACAATGTAAGTCACATACCCTGAAGATATCTGATCTCTGGATTAATGCCATCAGGGAAAGGTATCCTCCATAGGACCAGCCGTGGATGCCCACACGATCTAAGTCAATGAAATCATACCGAGAAGCCAGATACTGGAGTCCTTCTACCTGGTCGTCAATTTCTATTTGTCCCTGTCAAAAAAGGGAGAACATTTCACTGATTCTGATGAATCAAAGTCTCATTATAAGAGTGCTTTTAAAACTAATAAAGATTTTTACTAAAAATACCTGTTTTTTTAAGATTATAATTCATTATCAATTGAGATTCTGTTGCCCCCCAAACTTTTTTTAAAAAACTATTTAGAGATAGGAGCCTATAGCTTCTGTTGCTAGCCTGTCCTAGAATTTAGTTATCCATTAGTCATAAAGTTCTTTCCTGTTGTAACCCAAACTGCCCCTTGCCATATGGGTATTTCCCATTTCCGTTTGTTCTGTTGTCTGCTAAGAGCCAGCATCTTCCTTGTAACAAGCCTTCCCATACCCAAAGATGAAAAATTAGCCCCTTCGAGAGGGTGACTAATTTCATTTCTCCTTTTTAAAATGTAATGCAATATAGCAGAAGGAATTACTCTTGAGGCCTGATCCTCCTATTTTCCCGTAGTCTACCTCTAGGAACTGAACACACTATTTCTTTGAAGTCCTATTAAGTTTTAATTCCTACCACCACCACCCTGACTGTATTACTAGGCCTGCCAGTGCACACAATCTCACTTCACTGAGCAAAAACAAAAATAAAAACAAAAAAAAACTTACATGATAATACAACATAAGTTCAAAGAACTGGCTGTGGGAGAAAATCCCCATGTCTTACTCAGCATGTCCAATACACTGGCAAACACAGTAACTGCCTTACTGTGCAAAAGGAACATCGGATTCTCATCATTTCCCAAAGCAGCAGAAAGGACATGGGGCATCTCTAAAAGGTAGCATTTAAAGCTTCCTGTAGAGAGAAAGAGGCTTGTCACAAGGAAGGCACTAACCAGTTGGTTTCTCTCTTCACAGAGGACAGAACAAATCTCAATTATCCCTCTCAATAGTGTAAAGGATGCTGAAAGCTAAATGGTGCTGCTGTCTGCCTAAGCGAGACATACAAGAAACAAAGAGAGGCTATTTCTATGTAAAAGTTGTTCTATCTCAGTTCCTCAGAGTTACATACAAGTAAACATGAGTTAGCCTAGTGAGTATTAAGTTGTATCTTCCCTCCTACCCCCAAACTTTAACACACACACACACTCTCTCTCTCTCTTTCTTTCACTCAGAGCCCCCCCGCCCCCCCTCCCCCGCCGCCTTTCTCTGGGATTTCACACCAACCAATGCACCAGAAAATGTGTCTTTAAGAGAAAATATGTTTGTATGTTCACACACCATTTTATATTTAAAGGCGCCTTCAAATTTAAGCCCTCGGTGACAGGATCCTCTGTTGTCTATCACTACAACCACATAACCCAGAGAGGCTAGAGTATTCAAACGGAAATACTTGACTCCTTTAAACCGATTATTCACCAACTGCACCTGAGGAAGAAATACAACTTCAGTGAAATTTATTACATGGTAGCATACAAAAGCATAGGAGAGGCAGGACACTGTGAAAAGCAGAAAGCTTAAATTTTTAATATCATGTTTGCCGTTAAAAAGACATTTTATTTTCTTGTGGGCAAAAACACTTAACATGAGATCTACCCTCTTAACAAAAATTTAAGTACACAATATGGTATTAGTTATAAGACAATGCTGTACAGCAGAATTCTAGAACTTAATTCGTCTTGTGTAACAGACTTTATGCCCACTGATGAGTAACTACCCCCTCATTTATTTTTAAATTAACTTCATTTTTTTCATGTTTATGGTGCTTTTTTTCCCCTTTCTATGCAGCATGGTTGATCTTGAGCCTGCAAGGAGCAAGCTGACCACGGATTCTCCAAGTCCACATTTCTTTCCTCCAATTCTTACGTGCCCAAAGGAAGGGAACCACTGACACCCCTTGAAAAGAAGGGAGGCACTTCTTTTATTTTTTTTAATTTTACTTTTTACTGTATTTCTTCCATTACCATTTATCACCCTTTTCTTTCTTAACTTCACACTTAATTTAGGGCAATTACCTAACAACTAATGACTTTAAAACTATAACCTACGTATTAATTATATACAAGTGATTTAATCTGTCCCATAGAAAAAGTTACTAAAATGATTGCTTCTGCCCTGAAGAACTGTGTCATTCAAATGACTTAGACAAGAATAAATAGATTGTTTTTCTTCCCTACCCATCTCTTCTGGGACTGTCTCTGACCAGCAGCAGGAAAATTTAGTATTTTAGTAACCAGTCCAGCTTCTTTTTTCCTGTCACACAAACCAGTATAAAAGGTAGAATAATTCTTAAATACCTTTATCTCCCTAGAAACTATACTTCAAAGTGGCTGGGAAATTAAATGTAATTTAGTGTTTCACCAGAAATAAACTACCTAGTGAAAAGATTAGTGGGCAGAAACTTACAGAAGTTCAAGTTTGGTGGACACTAAGGCAGATATTAAACAATAACAAAATAAACATTCTGGTAAATGAGAAAGAAGTTTTCTCCGATTGAAACCAATGGAAAAACCAAGTCAGCCAGGAATTAAAGAAGAATCAAACTTGGTCTTGATCAGATAGCTTAGATGGTTAGAGTATCACTAAGGTTGTGGGTTTGATCCCCGGTGAGGGTACATTCAGGAATCAACCAATGAATGCATAAATAAGTGGAACAACAAATCGATGTTTCTGTCTCCCTTCCTCTCTCTTTAAAAAAAAAATCAACCAATAAAAATTAAAATAAATAAATAAACATTAAGAATCAATACTATCCTTACTCAATAGCTACTGAGCATTTATTGGCTTAGATTTGAGGAAAAGTGTAGAGAATCTTCTCTTTTTGAACATTTGGATGTTAGTACCACTGGTCTTCCTGTTTCTATTCTTGTCCTCCTACAGTCTGTTCACACAGTAGCAGAGTAATGTTTTAAAAATGTAAATCAGATATGAATTCGTAGCTTTGCTCCCTCCGTTGGTAAAGAGTTTAGATTTATACTCCTTACCACTGCCTTTTGAGACCTTTCATTATGTGGCCTTCGGCAATTTCTCTGACTTCATCTCACACCATTTCCTTCCTTATGCACTATCTTTGAACTGTGTTATCAACTACTGATTCTAACCCCAGGACCTTGCCCTTGAAACTTACTATTCCCTGTTTGGAACTGCTCTTCCCTCAGGTCTCTAATGTGGCTCATTCCTTCTCATCCTCTGTAGAGACCTTTCATGTATCAGAACTTACATTTCAGTCACTTTGCCATCCTCTTTTTGAACAATTATTCATAGCACTTCCATTTATGAATCTATATATTTTTTATCTACTTATTTTCTTAATTAAGCTCTATAAGGGTGGAGCATTAGTCTAACTTGTACACTGTGATATCCTCATTGCCTAGAATAGTTCCTGGTGCATAATGGGAATTTAATAACTATTTAGAGAGATAGAACTGTATCTTCCCTTCCTATCACAAGAGAAGTTTGGTAGGTAAAGGTTTTTCTTTTTCTTTTCTTCCCTCTCTCTCCTCCTGTTAGGAAGTAGGTTAAAATAAGAAGTACTATGTATAGAAGAACATAAATACAAGGATTTAAAGAGAACTACCTTATTTATTTGCCTATTGTCATAGGAAGATGGCCTCAACTGCCTGATTTTAAAAAACAAAAAAACAAAAAAAAACTTCACCAAAGCTGGTGTTTCTGCCTTGCAGCCTGGAGACCTGCTACTTCTGGAAGGAGGTATTTAAACATTGTGCTCTTTGTCATTGAGAATTCGCAAGTTTCTTCAGAATCAATTCTTCAAAATCTGTGTCCTGCTATCACTTAGTCTGATCTTTTGTGCATTTACATTTGCAGAACAGTGTCTGGCACTTAGGAAGTGTGGCTCAGTGTTTATTAAAACAGACATTTTTAAACATAGAGCTGTTACCAATGAAGAGTTTAAAGAACTAAGCCTTGATGACCTTAATGGGAAATATTTGTTGCTTTACTTTAGATTTCACCTTTGACTACAGACATTGTTGTATTTAGTGACAAAGTAATTTAACTCATGTTATGAATTGTGACATTTTGACCTGAATATACACCAAGAAAGAACATGGACCACTGATATGATTTAATGAAATTTCATAAGGCCATTTAAAAGACTTGTCTCACATTAAGGAACCTCTTCATAACTATCTCAAATGGAGTGATCCAACAAGAGGATGAACTGCGGGGTGAGGTGCCAGAGGCATTCTATCATGCAAAGTCCTCTAGGGAAATCTCCCTGTAAACTGAATGCCAGGTTCTCCCAAGGCCTCACCAAATGTTAATGTTTCCAAAAAACACTTTGAGAAAGGAACTGTTTCTACAAGTACAAGAAAGCACAGTTATGTTCATAAAGTACTCCAAACAATTAAACAATTTTCTTTTAATTGCAGTGACTAAGATACTTTCATTATGGTAAAATATACATGACATAAAATTTATCATTTCAACCATTTTAAGTTCAGGGGCATTAAGTATAGTCACACTGTTGTGCAACCATTACCACTATCCATTTCCAGAATTTTTTTAATCATCCCAGAGACTCCATACCTATTAAATGGTAACTTCATATTTCTCCCTCAATCCCTGGCAACTTCTATCCTACTTTCAGTTTCTATGAATTTGCTTATTCTAGGTACCTCATACAAATAGAATAATACAATATTTGTCTTTTTATGTCTGGCTTATTTCACTTAGCACAATGTCCTCAAGGTCATCCATGTTGTATTTCCTCCTTTTTTAAGGCTACATAACATTTCTTTATATACCACACTTTGTTTACCCATTTATCTGTCAATACACACTTGATTTGCTTCTACATTTTGGCTACTATGAGTAATACTGCAATGAACATTGGAGTAAAAGTGTCTGTTCAACTCTCTGCTTTGGGTATACACTCAGAAATGGAACTGTTAGATTGAATTGTAATTCTGTTTAACTTTTTAAAAACTGCCATATTGCTTCCCATAGCAGAGTTCTAATTTCTCCACACCCTTGCCAATATTTATTCCCCCTCCCTTTCTTTTTTTTTTCTCCCTGAAAATGACTCTCCAAATAGGTATAATGTGGTATCTCACTGTGGTTTTGATTTGCATTTCCCTAATGACTAAGTGATATTGTGTATCTTTTCATCTGGCTTAGATTTTTAAAACTTAATTATTAATATAAGGTGTCTCTTAGTCTTAAAATCTTGATAACCAGATAGTTTTTATAGTGTGTTTTTCACATATTTCACATATAATTTCTTCATTGGAAATGAAAAATGTGCTTCTTACTTAGCCTTAATATCAATAATATAGCAAAACATATAAAGCTTCTGAGAGTGTCCTGTAATTTTCTTTTGAACTTCTTTGTATTAAACCTTTTTTTAAAGTTTACAAAGACTTGGCTTCAAGTTTTTAACAGAAGTTTAATTGAACTTTTTCATGATTTATGTGTAGATAACTATTAATACAAATGCAAATCATGTTTGTTTGTAAAACATACTTAATGACTGCAAAGTGATTTAACTTGACATATCAAATAGCTTACCACTGAGATTTTATGGCTTATGTAGTTATTTTACTTTTATATTTTGGATAGGTTAAAATCTAGATATATTTCCAGATACTAAATAACAAGGTATAATTATAAGGGATATTTACTGTGTCTAAGAGTTACAGTGTAAAACCAGTGCAATTATATTCTAATTTCTTCAATGGCTCAATGTACGATATATAATCAACAATAAACATTTTAAAAAATTTCTAATTAACAAATTCACCTACCCCAAATACTTTACTCTGATAAACAAATTTACTTAATACTTGCATGCTATTATTTTAATAAATAAAAGAGAAAATAAAGGTTAAATTTCTAAATAGTAGTGTAACAGTTGCCTTAACTAGCTAGTAAAAGTATTCTAATTTTCTTAAGAGATACAGCCTTAGAATGAAGGGTAGGGGAGAATTCATCAGGCTACCACAGCATTCTAAAAACAGCTGTTAAGACTCTTTATTTACCAAGAAATTTAATTATTTAATTTCATTTCCCAAATTTCTTTAGATAGAAAACATATTTACCTACTGACATGAATATCCCATTCCCCATGACAGTTACAGTTCTTGTAAATTAAGAAAATGACAATGAGTTACAAATTACATATCTAAAAAAACCCAGCTTCCTGAACTCCTAAACTGGATAATTAGAACATAAGCCAGAGTCAGTAACAGTAGAGGCTCAACAATGCTCAAATCTTAACTTAAACAATTGACATTCAAAAAATAAATAACCTAAAAAATTATATATACATATGTGAGTGTGTGTGTGTGTGTGTGTGTGTGTGTGTGTGTGTATGTGTGTGATAAAATATACCCACCTGAGGACCACCATATATGAATAACACAGTTGGGTATTTCTTTCCAGGTTGTAGATCATGAGGTTTGTAAAGCATACCATATAATGTAAATCCAGTAGTGCTTTCAAAAGAGAAAATTTCTGGAGGGGTATAGTCAGGAAGAGGACCTGCAAGGAAGTTACATACAGAGTCTGTAAGAGAAGTTGTTATTGGGAGCTCTAAATCTGAGAGCAAGGAAAAGATAAATCTACAACCTCACAAATAACTGGCCATCTCTCTTTCAGGTGATAGGCAAAAAATTAAGCAGCAATATTTATATTTTAAAAAGAAAACCTAATGAACGTATCAAATTATCTATTTCAGAAATAAACACAGTATTCTGATAATCCTTGGAGCCTAGGAGGTATTTATATGCAGAACTATCCAAATACTTTGTGCTCAGTTCAGTGTAACTTACTGATGGTTAATACATATATCTGATTAGAAACTGGAAACATAAATTTAACTTAGTCAATTTAAATTGCTCAAGGCAGGTGCTTAATAAAATTTGTTCCTGATTATTAAAGAATAAG